AACTTGATCCTGTTAGACCCCTCTGACGACACCAAGGGCTTCTTCGACCCCAACACCCACGAGAACCTCACCTACCTGCAGCTGCTGGAGCGCTGCGTGGAGGACCCCGAGACGGGCCTGCGCCTCCTGCCACTTAGCAGCACACGGCCTCAGCTGGTGGACCGCAGCTCCCGGCAGGACTTACAGAACCTGGTGCTTCCTGTGCAGTGTGGAAGGTTCCGGGGACAGAGGGTCTCAGCCTGGGACCTAATCAACTCTGAGTACTTCAGTGAGACCTGGAGGAGGCAGCTGCTGCAGCGCTATGGACAGCGCAAGGTCACACTGGAGCAGGTCACGCAGCTGCTGCACAGAGAGTCAGGGAGGTGGGCAGACATCACACTGCCAGCACTTCGGGGCCGGGTCACCATCGGCCAGCTCCTGGAGGCTCAGATCATCGACCAGGACCTCCTGGAACAAGTTCTGGCAGGGACAGTCAGCCCTGATGCCCTCTTCCACATGGCCAGCGTCCACAGGTACCTGCAGGGCTCGGGCTCAGTGGCTGGGGTGCTGCTGCAGCCCTCCCAACAGAGGCTCAGCCTTTATCAGGCCATGAAGCAGAAGCTGCTGGCGCCTGGCGTGGCCCTGACCCTGCTAGAGGCCCAGGCAGCCACGGGGGCCATCACAGACCCCAGCAGTCTGGAGATACTGTCCGTGGACGAGGCGGTGCGCAGGGGCGTGGTGGGGCCAGAGGTGTGCAGCAGGCTGCGGTGGGCCGAGGGTGCCGTCACTGGCTTCAGAGACCCTTTCTCGGGGAAGAGAGTATCCCTGTTCCAGGCCATGAAGAAGGGCCTGGTCCCAATGGAGCAGGCTGCCCGGCTGCTGGAGGCCCAGGTGTCAACAGGAGGAGCCATTGACCCCACAGGCCACCACCACCTCCCCTTGCCTGTAGCCATCCAGCGGGGCTTCATAGACCGAGAGATGGACGTGGCCTTGTCCAGCTCTCCCAAGACCTTCCCCACGCCAGACGGCCAGGGCTTCACCAGCTATGCCCAGTTGCTGGAGAGGTGCCCCCGGGACCAGGCCTCTGGCCTCCATCTCCTGCCTCTGGCAGAAGATGCTCCTGCCATTCCCACTGACACTCAGCTCCAGGACATCCTGCAGGGCACACCAGGGAGTGAGGACGGCAAGTCCCTCTGGGACCTGCTCACCTCCTGCCACTTCACTGAGGAGCGGCGCAGAGGCCTCCTGGAGGACTTGCGGGTTGGGAAGGTCTCCGTGCCACAGCTACAGGCCACTGTGTGCAGCTGTGTACAGGAGGCAGAGCTCCTGGCCCAGGCCCGTGTGACACTGCCAGGTCCCCGGGGTGAGGTTCCTGCCGTCTGGCTGCGGGACGCTGGCATCATCACCCAGGAGGCCCTGGCCGCACTGGCTCAGGGCACAAAGTCGCCCTCTGAGGTGGCAGAGCAGCCGGCAGTGAGGGCCCACCTCTGGGGCACGGGCTGCGTGGCTGGGGTACTGCTCCAGCCCTCTGGGACTAAAGTGAGCATCGCCCAGGCCATGAGGGATGGCCTCCTGCCCACAGGCCTGGGACAGAGACTGCTGGAGGCCCAGGTGGCCTCTGGCTCCCTTGTTGACCCACTGAACAACCAAAGATTATCGGTGGAGGATGCAGTGAAGGCCGGCCTGGTAGGCAGGGAGCTGAGTGAGCAGCTCAGCCAGGTCGAGAGGACTGTGGCCGGGTACACAGACCCCTACTCAGGGGGCTCCCTCTCTCTGTGGCAGGCCATCGAGAAGGGGCTTGAGCCCGAGAGTGAGGGCCTCCCCCTCCTGCAGGTGCAGCTGGCCACGGGGGGCCTATTAGACCCTGTTCATGGGGTGCATCTGCCTCAGGCAGCGGCCTGCAGGCTTGGCCTCCTGGACGAGCAGACGAGCTGGGCACTGACCACCACCACGGAGGACAACAAGTTCTTCTTTGACCCTAATTCCCGGGTCAGGGTGACATATGGGCAGCTCAAGGAGCTGTGTGTGCTGGATGCTGATACCGGCTTGTGGCTGCTGCCACTCACTCAGGACGCTGTGCTTGAGGTGGACGAGCACACCGCAGTGGCTCTGAGGGCCATGAAGGTGCCTGTCAGTATGGGGAGGTTCCAAGGGCGCATCGTGTCACTCTGGGACCTGCTACACTCCGAGTACATCAGTGCTGACAAGAGGCGGGAGCTGGCAGCACTCTGCCGGTCTGGGCGAGCCACAGCCCTGCGGCAGGTGGTCAGTGCGGTCACTGCCCTAGTGGAGACTGCAGAGAAGCAGTCCCCACAGGCCACCTTTAGAGGGCTCCGGAAGCAGGTGTCAGCCAGGGACCTGTTCAGGTCTCAGCTGATCAACAAGCAGACGCTAGATGAGCTGACCCAGGGGAAGAAGACGGTGCAGGAGGTGACAGAGATGGCCAGTGTGAGGCGGTCTCTGGAAGGAGGCAACTTCATTGCCGGAGTCCTCATCCAGGGCACCAAGGAGAAGATGAGCATCCCAGAGGCCCTGAGAAGGCACATCCTGCGGCCCGGCACGGCCCTGGTGCTGCTGGAGGCGCAGGCGGCCACCGGCTTCATCATCGACCCGGTGAAGAATCAGAAGCTGACCGTGGAACAGGCGTTCCAGGCAGGCATGTTTGGCAGGGAAACTTACGGGAAGCTGCTGTCCGCCGAGCGCGCCGTCACCGGCTACACCGACCCCTACTCCGGGGAGCAGATCTCGCTCTTCCAGGCCATGCAGCGCGACCTCATCGTCAGGGACCACGGCATCCGCCTGCTGGAGGCCCAGATCGCCACGGGCGGCGTCATCGACCCGGTGCACAGCCACCGCGTGCCCGTGGAGGTGGCCTACCAGCGCGGCTACTTCGATGAGGAGATGAGCCGCGTGCTGGCGGACCCCAGTGACGACACCAAGGGCTTCTTCGACCCCAACACCCACGAGAACCTCACCTACGACACCAAGGGCTTCTTCGACCCCAACACCCACGAGAACCTCACCTACATGCAGCTGCTGGAGCGCTGTGTGGAGGACCCCGAGACGGGCCTGCACATGTTGCAAATCGTAAAGAAAGGAGAACCCTATGCCTATATTGACGAGGCCACGAAGCAAGCTCTGCGGTCCACAACTGTGAACATGCACGTGGGGAGGTTTGCCGGTCGGACTGTGTCTGTCTGGGACCTGCTGTCCTCGCAGTACTTCAGCGAGAAACGGAAAAGAGAGCTTGTGTGGGAGTACAGAGAGCAGAAGGTGGGACTAGAGGAACTGGTGGAGGTCATCAGAACCACCATCAAGGAAACAGAGGAGCAAAACCAAGATATCAGATTGGCAGCCATCCACGGGGACACGACAGCCGCAGAACTGTTCAACTCTGGGGTCATCGATAAGGAGACCCTGGATGCACTTCACAAGGAGGACAGTGGACACCAGGACCTGCAGCAGCTGGAGTGCGTGCGTGTGTGCCTGGAGGGCAGTGGCTGCATTGCTGGGGTGACTGTACCCTCCACCCAGGAGGTCATGGGCTTCAACGAGGCCTGCAGGAAGGAGCACATCCCTGCGGGGTTCGCAGCCCAGATGCTGGAGGCACAGGCAGCCACTGGGTTCATGTGGGACCCTCGCACTCATCAGAAGCTGCCAGTGGACGAGGCCCTGGCAGCTGGCCTGGTGGATGAGGAGCTTCGGGAACGGCTGCACATGGCTGAGAAAGCCGCCAAGGGCCACAGAGACCCAGCCACAGGGGAGACCATACCACTGTTCCAGGCCATGAAAAAGAAGTTGGTCGGAAGGGAAGAGGCACTAAGGCTGCTGGAGGTGCAGGTGGCCACAGGGGGCATTGTGGACCCACAGCACCACCACCGAATCCCCCTGGACATGGCCTGCATGCGGGGCTGCCTAGATGAGGAAACGAAAATGCTCATCGTGGATCAGAAGCACATGAGGAGAAGGTTCCTGGACCCGAACACGCAGGAGAAGGTCACATACCAAGAGCTGCAGGATAGGTGCAAGAGGGACGAAAGGTCAGGATGGACCCTTTTCCCAGTGGTCAAGGACACAAAGGACTCAGAGTATGTTGATGAGGCCACCAAAAGGGCACTGGAAGCACAGCAGGTAGAAATAACAGTTGGAAGGTTCAGAGGCCAGCGGCCTTCAGTATGGGAGCTCCTGAACTCAGAGTATGTGACTCGAGAGAAGAAGCTGGAGCTGGTCAAGGCCTACCGCCAGGACACTGCAGGAGCCCTGGAGAAAGTGGTACAAAAAATTCTGCAAATAATTGCAGAAAAAGAAAAGAAGAGCAGACCAATGTGGTTCAGGGGTTTCCGAAAGCAGATCACAGCAGCCGAGCTGCACAGCTCAGGTATCATAAACAGAGAGACCCTGGAGGATCTGGAAGAGGGCCGACAGACAGTGCAGCAGGTACAAGCAGGGGAGGATGTCCAGCGCTACCTGGAGGGCACTAGCTGCATCGCGGGCGTGCTGGTGCCCGCCAGGGGCGAGCCTGGCCGCCAAGAGAAGATGAGCATCTACGAGGCCATGTGGAAGGGCGTGCTGCGGCCCGGCACGGCCCTGGTGCTGCTGGAGGCGCAGGCGGCCACCGGCTTCGTCATCGACCCGGTGCACGACCGCAGGCTGTCTGTGGAGGAGGCCGTGGCCACCGGCGTGGTGGGCGGCGAGATCCGGGAGAAGCTGCTGTCCGCGGAGCGCGCCGTCACCGGCTACACCGACCCCTACTCCGGGGAGCAGATCTCGCTCTTCCAGGCCATGCAGCGCGACCTCATCGTCAGGGACCACGG